GCCTTGCCCGTGGTGGCGATTTGGTGGTCGAAGGATGCTTCTCGGCAGCCGCTCTCTTCTGGCCTCGCCCCTTGGAGGCTGGGCGCTTGGCGGGCCTAGCTCGGGAGGATTTCCTCTCGGCCTGAGCACGGGCCGCAGGCTTCTTATGAGAGTGCCCGACCATGGGATAAGTGGCCACCGGTGATCGGAAGACAGCAAGAACCCAAGATTCCCGACTCGAGAGGATAGCTGTGGACACACCAGAGTAATATCAAGAGGCAGCCTAAGAGCAGACGCAGGTTGGCCCGTCAATGCAACAATGTACCTGGAGTGTGCAAGGCTGTCCGCAGTACTCTGAGGACTGAGCCAAAATCGGCAGTCGCAGTGCTCCGGTACTGGCCTAGTCAAGGAAACTGTGGTTCGCAGCAGGAAGCGCAGGAAAATGCTGCTGACAGGCTGCTTCACTCTGATGGCACAGACCCTCTTGTATGCCGGACTGGTCGGCGAGCGCTGTGTGGTGAGACTGGCCGTGCTGCCCTTGCTGGCACTTTCTTCACCTGAAGTAGAAGCATCACCCGGAGTCTCACTAGAAATCCGCCGAGATGACCTCTTCGGCTTCCTCGACTTGGTGGCTCCAGCCCCTTTTCTCTGGTCGGAAGACCTTGTCATAGGGCCTGACACGCCAGAGCTCGCGGGCCGGGCCGCCATCGGAGCCTGGGTCTCGGTAGCTGTGCAACGCCTGGGCGAGAACGGGGAACAACGTGGCGGCGATGGAGTCGACCTGGCACAGCGGCCACGATCCTCTTCATCCGAGGGTGGCTGTGGCCTTGAGGTAGGAGAAGAGCGGCTCTCAGCCGTCAGGGTCGCTGGTAGAGGCCTGAGAGTGCCCTCTAAGGGCACCGTTGCAGCGCCCGGCACCGTGGGTGCATCCAGGGATCCAGATGGGAGGTCCGAGGTGGCTCCTCTCGCAGCCTGATGGATATCCTCGATCTCGGCAGGGGACAGTTCCAGACGCGAGGTTACCTCCGGGGTGGTGGGAGCCTCGGCTGGACAGGCCGCCGAAGAGGGCGGCGGAGGCAGCGGCGGTGGCTCCTCGCTGAGAACCTCACCAGCAGGTGCAGACGAGGCGGAAGGCTCGACCGCAGGTGGAGGTGCTGGGGCCTTCAGAGGATAGCGCTTGGGCTTAGGCATAGGCTTCGATTTGGGCCGGGAAGTGTGCAGGATCACCACGTCCTCGTCGGTGTCATTGTCCAGCTGTACCACTTCCTGGTCAGGGCTTGCGTCAGCCTTGTCAGCTCTGTTGGTTCCACCGGCGTCATCAGGTCGACGAGCTCGTTCCGGCGGGTGGACCGAAGGTGGCCTGGTGTAGTTCGTACGTGGCGGGGGGTGCACCACCCACCTGTACAGCCGTTGGAGTCGTTTGATCGTGCCGCGGGGGAACTCCGTCTCCGCCGAGGGCAAAATCTGTGTGCTGGCACATATGCACACACGATCGCCAGTAGTAAAGACTACCCGGCATGAGCTTTGTCCAGGCACCAAAGCGACCGCTGGGTCCAGGTCCGTGCCCCTACATGCGTCTGGCACGATGATGCCTGGAAGGTCCGCCGGGTACTCGAGGATGGGCCTGAAGAGTCGCACGAACCGTCCAGGCGCCAACAGGAGCTGCTTGAAGGATGTAGGCCCAGACCCGGTCGGCGGTGGGCGCGTGGAGGCACTTGCCCTAGCACCGGAAGACCTGGACCGAGAGGGAGACCGCCGTCCGGAGCGGGATCTCGAGTCCGACCTTGATCTGGGTCGAGATCGGAGCTTGAGGTTCTCAGGGCCCGTGTCAAGTCCCCTCGACCATTGACCAGGGCGGCCGTGATTGCGCTTTTTCCGACCCGAGCGGCCCATGAGGCGCCGACTCCCTCCTACTGAAGTAAGCTGTCCCCAGGGAGAAACTGGGTAAGAGCCACAGAGAGGGAAGACCATGCACGCAGACTGCACGAACGTTTAGGTTGCAGAGCAAACAGGAACCGAGGCTGTGGCATAAAGGCACGGTCGTCCCCGGTCCGGCAGGCGAGGACTCCTCCAGCCTGGGTCCAGCGAGACAGGAGCTCAAGGGAGCAGGCATGGGTTGCAGTCGAGGCAGAACTGAGATTGAGCTCGCGGCCTAAGGGAAGACGCGCTGTCAGCCTAGTCAAGCGTATGCAGGTCAAGGAGGCGTGACTGTACGCCCTCCAGTGCACACGGAGTGAGGTGCGCCAGCCGGGCAAGGAGCTCGGCGAGCTCGGTTGCTGAGAGCATGCACATCGCTTCAAGATACAAGACGTGTGCCTCGAGAGAAGGCAAGCATCGCTCGTATTGAAGTGCCTGGGTGAGGGCGCGACTGCGGTAGGAGTTGAAACCTGCACATTTGCGATACCGCGAAGCCGTCACACAGAAGACGTGCACACAGTGGCAGAGCACTCCAGGGCGCCCCCACCACAGCCCCATGCAGAAGTCTATCGGCACACTCGAGAAGGAGTGGGCAGTCCGTGTCATCCGGCACACGACTCGCCTGCAGTTTATTCCTGGGCTGTTGCGACCTGTCCTGCGGCTGAAGCCATCTCGGAGAAACCGAGTGGCCGGGACCTTAGTGGGCATGCGGTGACGATGCTGTGGTGCTAGAACCCAGCACGGGCTCCAGCCTGTGAGCACCGAATCGGCCATACGCGGCAGAAAATGCATGCAAGGACCTGGGCCAACAAGGAAGGCATTGTGCAGGTATAGCAACTCATGTAAGGACCCAGTGAAAAAGGCGGGCTGTGCTGACCTGTGCCATACCCTTTTCCCAGAAGCTTCAGCATTACGAGTCAGCAAAAACTCAGACCTCCAAGCCAGCCCCAGGTCCGGTGTCCTTACGCTCCAGGCCTTAGACGTCCGATGGCATGGCCATGCCTGCCATGACTGCATTCCAGAACTGGACCGGCGTGCTGATGGCAGATGGACCCGCGGTCGACGAAGGTGTAGGCGCTCCAGCCATCGGTGGGCGCACTGGAGGGATCGGCGCACCCATGTGGGCGGTTGGTCCACCTCCTGTAGATGCCAGAGAAGTCGCCTTCGGTGTCGTTGCCAAAAGGGATGCACGGATCGTAGGGATCGCAGGGATCGGAGGGATCGTTGAGGAACTGGCTGCATCCGGGTTGGGTGGCACCGGAAAAGGGAGAGGAGGGGTCGAGACAGAGTGTGGCGTAAGCTGTGTGAGGCGGAGCTGCCATGCGCCCTGCAACGTGAAGACAAGGTCTTGTGGAAACCCACCAGACGCCTGAGCAGGCCGCGGTGGCAGTCCTGCCGGTGTCGGTACTGGTGGTCCTGCAGGCAAGACAGGCCCAGGTGCACTCGGATGCTTCGCCGTCGCAGCCGAGGAAGCCTTCGATGGAGCCTCAGTGTTGTCCGATCCTGCAGGTGGCGGTCCAGCTTTCGGTATGCCTCTGCGCGATCCTCCCCGCTTTGGTGGTGGACCCCACGGCTCTTCCTCCGAAGAGGAGCTAGAAGAAGAGCTGATGGATTCCGAGGCCTCCGGCAGAGATGCACGACCGCCTCGATGGCCTCTGGGCGTCCTTGTGCGGGTGCGGCCCTTCGCAGCTGCGGTTTTTGCCCTGCGCTTCGGTGGCATGCTAGCAGGCTCACGTTCCTAAGGTGGTTAGAGCCACGCCGCTGCAGGAATTGCAAGGGCAAGGTTGGAGTTAACACAGAGGCAGCAGTATCTGTGCAACCTGGCTCAGCTGGGCACCGCGCGTCGGGGTGGAGCCCCACTCGATGCGGGCACCACAGTGCTAGAGCCACCAATAACAGCTGGACGGCGAGCACATGCATGGCGCTAGAACTTTCATTCAATCAACAGCAGACTCGAGCCAGAGCCTTATAGAAATACAGATATAAATATAGATACAAACATAAATATAGATTTAGATGTAGATGTACATCTGTTTGATATATAGCTTACAAATCTATCTACAGGTATCTGTTTCTGTGTCTCTCTGTCTCTCTTTCTCTCTGTGTCGCCTCTGTGCCTCTGTGCCTCTGTGCCTCTGTGTCTCTGCGTCTCTGTGTCTCTGTGTCTCTCTGTCTGTCTCTCTGTCTGTTTGTCTGACCGTCGGTCTGTCTTCCTGTCGGTCTGTCTTCCTGTCTGTCTGTCTGTCTGTCTGTCTGTCTGTCTCTATCTCTCTCTCTCTCTCTTTGTCCGTCGGTGTGCATGTATGTAGCAAGGTTTTTGTGTCAGGTAGGTAGAAAGGCAGGTATGTACATGCAACAATTTGTAGCAGTTAGCCTCGAAGCTTGTTGCCAATTTTTTGATGCGAGCAGGAATCCAGTCAGGCGGTCTACAGCTTGATGCAAAACGAACCCCAAACAGCTTCAGGCCAAATAAATACAGTCCTGCACATCGGACTTCCTCAAGAGCTTGCTGCAAAACAAAGCCTCCAGACCGTCTGCGACGCGCGACACCAAAAACCAAATTCGTTGTGCATCCAGATAGAATCTCTTTAAGTTCCTGCTGAAGATTTCGGAAACGTAGACAAAGATCCTCCTTGTTATCGAAACGGAGCGATGCTTAGTGAGTTCTTTCGGTCTTTGCGTTGCGACCGCTTTCGGGTCATCGGGCCGCGACGCGAAGCCTTGCCGTGACTTCGGTCTCAAAGTGGCTGACAACACCGAGATTAAACGTTCCTGTGTTGTATGCTGCAACACCTGAAGTGATGCATGCAGCCGAGTTGCCGGCAAGACCAGAACGTACGGTATGCACCAGCAACGTGGAAAATGCGCATGCTGCATGCGAGCAAGCTATGCTCATACAATGCCTACGAAGCACGTGTGGAGAATATGCGGATGCGTGGACATGACCACGTGCATGATTCCTGTTCTCACCTGCTGCTTCCCGCCTGGTTTTCCTAGGTTGTCGAGTCACCATACATTTACAGTCCACTCGTTCTTCTCAGAAGGTCCGAGCTTCAACCCGTGTCCTGAGGCTTCAGAGCGATGTCGAGAACGTGCACTTTTTTATGTCCATGGGCCTCGGATACTTAATCTCCAGCGCAGGTGCCTTGACTGTCGCTTCGGATTCTGTTTTGTTGGCGCCTTCTCGCTGGGGCATCCAGGCCAGTTTGTGGCCGGAATCACCGTGGCCATGATACATGGACCCCGGCTGACCCTGTCTGTCTGTGCCTTTCTGCCTCTCCTATTCTGTGCGGGCCGGAGCATGGGCCAGCAGCTGGAACGACAAATGGGCAGACAGCAGCAGGACACAGCAGCTTTTGGACAGCTGTGTTTGAGTTTAAGATATCTGCAAATTTGAATCAGTGTGCTCGGCAGGACTTTGCCAAGGCAGCCGCAGTGGCGAAGGACTTCGGGACGGCTTGACAAAGTCCTGCCAAAAAAGACCTGATCCTCTGCAGCTGCAAACGATACCCTGAACGAAAGCATCCTGGAATCGTCGTGTCGAGTGTTCGACGACTGCCTCGCAAGATGAACCGGTGAAGCCTCGCACAAGGAGAGTCTGATGGGCATTCGTACCGTGGCGGCCTTCGGGGGCGAGCTGCGACAACAGGAGCCAACTGAAAAGTTGAGTACGACAGAACGGGTGTGCTGTTTCGCTCAAGCCAGAGCTAGCCTTGGGCACCGAAGGAGCTTTTCTCGAGCCAGCTGATGCAAGCCCGGGACGGTGGAATCCGTGCAGGCGTTAAGATCGGCATGTCCTGGGGAGTTCTCAACTTCATCTTTGCCTCGCTCTATGCAGTCACACTCTATGTCGGGGGCCACGGTCTTCTGACCGGTGCCACCAACAAGCAGGGTGGAGACGTGGTTACCGTGCTCATTTCTCTGATCACGGGCATGGGCGGCGTGAACTCCTTTAGCGGCTACCTCCCCACGATGACCAAGGCCTTGGCCTCCGCGGCGGCCCTGAGACTCGGCCGCGCAGGGCGCAGGGTTGGGATGCACCAGGATTGCTACACCTTTCGGAAGCGCTAGGCATCTCGTGGGCCTAGTGGTTTGGTGGCTGAGCCCGAAACCTCTGAAACTTTTCTCAACGCGATTCTGGGAATGATAACGAAAACGACGACAACTAAGGAAGGAGGTGATGGTGGCTGAGGCTCACGACATCGAGCCGGAAGGCTGCCGTGACCACGTTTCGCGTTTTAGTTGCAGCCCCGGTCGGTGGACTTCGCAGGCTTGCGGCATGTGGTGTTGAGGTTTGGACAGGTTTGAGACCGTGGAGCTGATGTGGGTGTTCAGATTCAAAGTTCAAAAATCTCAAGCGACATTACTGTCGAGACCCCTTTGCGAGTTGCAGACTCGGAAGGCGGCACGGGCTTGAACATGAACGGGGCCTGAAGAACTCTTAGGACTTCCCCCCCAAGGGGACTGCAAGAAAAAGCCAACATCCCAGCCCAATGCCATGCCATGTCTTTCAGGCTTCAAAGCTGGGGAGCTGCCGCAGCACCTCCAAACAGTGCAGAGCCTGGAGTTCCGGTCTGTCAGCTTCAGCTATCCCACGAACCCGGAGAAACGGATCCTGGACCAGCTTTCCTTCCAGGTCAGTGCTCCCCTGTGTTTGCAGGGTGTTTTCATGGGGGTGTGAGCCGCAAAGAGACACACGACCTTGGCAATGAAGGCTTTCAGGTCGCAGCTTGCTGTGCAGGTGGTGAAGGGACAAAAGGTGGCCTTCGTGGGGGAGAGTGGCTGCGGGAGACGGGGCTGCAAGTGATTCGTTGGGCTTCCTGCAGGACTCTGCAATCAATTTGTTGCAAGCTCCGCTGTCGCAAAGAGCGCAAAGCGGAAGTGGTGAGGGGACGCGAAGGTGACAAGCAACCCTTTTGCCAGTTCTGTGTTTCCCTCAGGAAGAGCACCACGATCCAGCTTCTGGAGCGCTTCTACGATCCGGATAAGGGGGAAATCCTGGTCAATGGCGTCTCGCAGCTGGCCTGCCAGAAAGAACGACAGCTTGCATATGGCTGTCGCAACTGCTGCGGTGTTACAGCCAATGATTACACAATTGCTCATTACTACGATGCTGGTGAAAGGTTGCAATTACTGCCATACTGTGCCTGACAGGTCCACGGTTTAGAACTTCACTGCTGGCTCATCAGAGGGCCTGGCCGAAGCAGATCGTAAATCGAGCCTGCGACATGCATGAACTCTTCATGTTTTTCGACCCGAGCCCAGGCTGCGCAGTCTGCCAGTGCGTGCTTGGCGGAGGCTGATCGGCTACGTTGGTCAGGCGGGTGCGGGTGGCAGCAGACGGGCCAGAGGGGGCGTCGGCCGCAATTTCATAGAAACTCGGGACTTCTACAGTTTCTCTCAATTTTCCACAATTAACCAGGCATAGATATCACAGAGTCCTGAACATCCGCTTCTTCAGTTAAGTGGTCGGGCATGGGGAGAGCCCGTGATATATGATTTGTGGAATGTTGATTGTGTCGGAAAAAGCGCGGTCGGCTCGATGCGCGCGATTTTGCGCGTCCACAATGTCAGCCTGGTTCCGATCAGACGTATCCAGGAAGGGCCAGGAAGGGTTGCCTGCTTACCTTTCACTATGACTGACCTCCTTTGCACTTTCGTCGAAACTGCGTAGGAGCCGGTCCTGTTCGCAGCCTCTGCCATGAAGAACTTGAAGGCTGGGTGAGGGGAGAGCAAAACTGACCAGCTCCCGTCCTGGCGGCACCATTCCGATGAAGCACGCCAGGCAGGAGACGGTTCGATCACTGACGAGGAGGGGGTGTGAGGGCTTGGGTGCATCGAAGTTGTACTTTGCCTGTTGGACTTGATTTCCGTTTCTCGTTTCCTGCGATCGTTAAGCCGTGAGAAAGGATGAATGTTCAGCAGCACGGCAGGGCCCAATAACTCCGATCACAACACTGCAGGAGGCCATCGAAGCGGCCCGCAGTGCGCTCTCTGGTTGCCTTGAGGAAGTCTTGGTTCTAAGACGGGTGCACTGTACACTGTCTACGCAGTCTACACGTCAAAGAGAGACGTCCGCAGCCTTCAAGTCGGTTGTTCTGTCCGCGGCCCACAGCAATCGATGTGACCGAGAAGCAGCACAGACTGCAGTGACTAAGGCAGATCCTGGACACGCTGACCCAGCTGCCCAAGGGACTGGACACTCTGGTGACAGGAGGTGAGCATTGCCCTCTTTGTCCCTGGAGTTTTGGAGTGGAAAAGTGCTTGCCGCTGCAGCCGCGCAGGAAATTTCTCTGGCGGCCAAAAGCAACGTGTGGCTATTGCCCGGGCATTGGCACGGAGGCGAGCGGTGGTGGTGCCGCGGGGGTGTTCGAGCCATTTGGAAGGATTCAGGCTTCACGGGAAAAGCCAAGGGTTTGCCGAGACATGTTAGAAGAAGCTCAAGTCTTGAACGCAGGTTTATGACAGAAAATTAATCAACAATCAAATGCATTCTGGGCCTTCAGTTGCTCCAAGCGATTGCAAATGTTACGGCTACATATCGGTGCTATGCGGCCTCTCCAATTCCATGCCGGCACGAGTGGTTTCGATTTTTGGGATGATGCCTTCAAACTGCTCCGCCTTGGCATCGCCACGCAATTTGGCTTCTGGGGCTTTTGTAATCCCGCTGTTGTTTTTGTGTTTTTGTTGGATTTTGGAATGCTGTTGGATGTGGTTTCCGATTGCTCGGGGATTGAGCGAAACGGCAAGCTTGAATTGAATTAGAGCTCGATGAAGTTTACCCTTCGAGGGGCACACCTGAGAGGAACTTCTACTGAGCGAGTTGCCGTGGAGTGCACGTGTGCACCTTGTGACAAGCAGAGCGAGCACAGCAGACGTCTTGTTAGCAGCTGTGCCTCTCGAGTTTTTCCTTTAGCAGTGGAAAGGACCGAACGTCTGTTCTCCTGTTAGTAAGAGAAGCTGTAGAAGCGAGACTTGTCGGGACAGCATAGCGAGGGGAAAAGGCATCTCACAACAAATGCAAACCCTATTCGCCATATCCGAAGCCCTGAAATCCCTGGCAATCCTGTAGCTTCCAGTGTTCGCCGTTCATGGAAAGCTGCGAACATGACTGTTAGGCGAAGACAGAATTTTCTAGGCACCTGTAAACGTGGAAGTCTGTGTGTGTGTGTGTAACGTTTGCAACAATTGCGGGTCTTAAGCAGTCGGAATCCCATTCGCTTCGAGGCCGCAGATATTGCTGCTGGACGAGGCTCTGGGTCGGGTTTCGGAGCTTGAAGCTTCGCTTGCGTTAGGTGTGTAGGCAGTGTGGATGCTGCTCCGCTTGCGAGGCCACCTCTGCGTTGGATAACGAGTCCGAGCGAATGGTCCAGGCAACGCGGGACAGGTTCGAGGTTCCTTCCGCGCCAGGCTTGTCGGCAAGAGCCGAGTCGAGCATTGAAATGGAGCCGCAGCGGTCACCAAGATGAGCTACGGTTTGTTATTCAAAACAAGCTGGAGTAGCTGCACTCGAATCGTCGCAGAAGTACTGTAGGGTGTCGCTCGTCGTCGTCGTCGTCTTTGGCTTTCGGGTCGCCTCCTCTCTTCAGAAGCAGCTTGTTCAAGCTTGTAAGGGCTTCGTTTCGAACTTTAGGGTGGCTGTAGGACCGGCCTGAGATGGCGGTTCCCAGCTTGCGGCCACACGGCGCGCTTCAGAGCTGAACGATGAAGCCCCTGAGAGCAGTGCAATTGCTAACATGTTGCCGCTCGAGCCTAATCTGGCTTCTTGGGCCAGGCCACGCTTGACTCCCTGGACGTCACGTACGGCCAAACAATCACAACCATCTCCATTGCCCACCGGCTAACATCCATTGTCTCTTCCGACGCCATCTATGTACTGAAGGACGCGTAGATTGGAGGGTGCTCGGCCAAAGACTCAACTCGGACGAGATACGCATATCCGATACCCTGGATGTTGTGGTAAACGGCAGAAGCGCACGGAGCCATGCTAAACGCCACACCAAGACGTCAAGTCTCGGTAGAGTGCGATTGGCTGCTGACCGGGTTGTTCGTATGCTGGTGTCAGCAATCGGTGTAACGTTGTGTGCCAGCGCAGTGTCAGGCTGAAGCGATATCTTCAAGTGTGTCCTGGGTCCAGGAGGGCCGCGTCGCAGAGAAGGGCACCCACGCAGAGCTGATGGCCCTAGAGGCTAGATGCTCAGTGGTCGCGTTTGCTTGCTCAATCTAGGTTGTCCCGGGATTGGGGCATCGCGGGTACGCAGTGAAGTCTTCGGCCAGTCTACGACTGCGGCACCCCATCTCGGAATTTGAATTCTAGCGTCTTAGGAAGGTCCGGTTGGCTGAAGTCCTGACTGGCCGGAGGAAAGCTAAGTTGCATGAGTCAAGGAAGGGTTCTCGGCCAGGCCCAGGCCTCGCGTCCTCAATCAATCTTTCACATGAGCAGCTGCAGCTAAAGAATTGCTGAATTCGTTTAGAGGTTTCCTGGCTCCGAAAAGCTCCACCAGTGAAGTCGCAGGTATCGAACACTCAATCATCAGAGATGCCCTAGTCTAGCGTGTCTAGCATCAACAGTCAAGGCCCACCTGTTGAATTGTGCCAGTTTTGACCCAACCTCCCTAGAGCCCCAAGCCTTGCTACGGTGTTCTGAACACCCTCCATGGACAGGGCCAGTACTATGCCATGGCGTCGCTGCAGCAGCTCGTCTAGCTTTGGATGGCTGAGACCTCCAAGGCGGTGAGGAAACGTCAGGCGCTGTCCCCCCCGGAGTGTTCTGAAGGAGTCCTTGAATCTGTTCACATTGCTAGTGCCTTGGTCGTTTGTGTGACAAGACCTGAAGCCGCTGAAGTGCCTGAAGCCTCGAAGGAAGGGTGCTCCAGCGATTCCAGCGCCGCCAGCGCCGCGGCGGCCCGTTCTGAAGCGCCAGGGCTCACAGGCCAGGCGGCTCATGCGCAGCTCATGCTGAGCTCATGTCGGTGGTGAGTTCGGCTCGGTGCATAGGAGTTCGGAACTGGCAAACGCGAGCAGTAGGTTGGTGGCAGTTCCGTGTCCCTCTCCGCCGCCCTCCAGCGCACGAGCACGGTGGGCCTCTCTGGCAGCGCATTAGGGTTTGGAATGCGGTGGGGACACAAAAATGGCCGAGAGATGCTGCACCCAGGTGTTTGGGTTCTGGAGTTCGGGAGTTCTGGATATCGGGCACGCAAGCCATCTCTGAGGCTACCTTCGAAGCATGTCGCGGCAGTCCTTTGTTGGTGCCATGGCGGGAGATCCCATCCAAAACAGCTTCATGGCGGAGGCGCTGCGATTTGGAGTTTCCAACTCTTGGAAATGCCGTGTTGCTTTGGGTGACGTGCAAAAGACATAGGAATCGGACATGGCAGAGGAACTCTCGGGTTCAGACAGGATGCAGGACCTGAGCTAGATTTTTTGTATGTATATATGTATATGTACATATACATTACATGGTTCAGAGCTTGTAAAACGATAGGGAATAGGAACGATAAGGGTTCAACTGGGGATAGGAATCCGTGACCGGTTTTTGTTGACAAAGCAGCGAAGTCGCCGAAACTCCAGCTGCCAATGTGTTCAGGCAGCACATGAACCTGACGAGGAGATTCCTGTTGCTCCCGCGGTGATGCCCAGGCACACAGCGAGCAGGGATGTTCACGAAGTTGAGCAGGGCTGTATATTACGACAAGGCAGCTAGAGTGATTGTTTTATGCAACAGCCGATGTTTTCTTGAGGAGGCCAGGAGTGCGGTAGACTACACCACCGACTGCAGGCTCTGCCATATTTCTCGACCGTTCTGGACTGTCTTGCCCTTCGCTTCTTGTCTTTGTTTGGCAAGTGCTGTCGATGTCTGCGAGCGAGTCATGGGCCGAACGTGCGCATTCTCAGCTCCGCGGATCCTCGCGGCCAAGGCTTTCCTGATCATCATTATCGAGGCCGTTGCTGCTCCGTTTCAGGCCCTCCTCTTCACCGACGCGATGAAAAGCCTCCTGGCAAGTAGTGCGAGTTTTCCTCGGCGAAAGAGTCACCACTAGACCTTGTCGATGCCGTGCCGACACGGTCGGGGTGCGTCTGGGCGTCGCTCTGTTGTCGGTTTTCAGTGTGTCGGGTAGACAGAGAGAGAGAGAGAGAGAGCCAGAGAGAGGCAAGGGGGTCAAACCTCTTGCCCATAGCCCTGGCGAAAGAAAGAGAGGGAGAGATAGAGAGATCGATATGTATGTGTATGTATAATATACACATGCACATGTAGAGACACACAAACAAACACACACACACACACACACACACACACACACACACACACACACACACACACACACACACACACACACACACACACACACACACACAACAACAACAACAACAACAACAACAACAACACACACACACACAAAAACACACACACACAACAACACACACACACACACACACACAAAAACACACACACAACAACACACACACACACACACACACACACACACACACACACACACACACACACACACACACACCCACCCACACACGCACACACGCACACACGCACACACACACACACACACACACAACCGCGCGCACACACACACACACACACACCACACACACACACACACACACACACGCGCGCACACACTTAGACATCCATCGCGCAGCCACTAATCAATCTGGTTATCAAGCACAGCTTGATGTATCTCGAAAGCATGAAGCTTCCAGGGGGTCCGGTACCTATCTGGCCTCAAGGCTCATCTTCACTTGATCTCTGACTTTTCCACTGTACAAGGCAAAATCTCCCAGACATGCACATGAAACTGCACTGCACTCCTACTCGCAATCAACAGTTGTGTGGTCACAAGCTGCACGAAAGTGCCCATGCCGACCACTGCAGGTACGTTTACCTGTCTCAATATCACGGAGCTTCGTTGGCAGAGGCCGTGAAATGAGACCCTCTGCCCCCTGCAATTTTCTGTAATTCAGCACAACTGTCCAACGTGTTTCAAAAACGGTTCCTCTTGGTAACAGAGGTCCACACACACAGTAAGCCACTAAGGCGAAACGACCTAGGGTCTGGACTCCAAACGAGGACGGTTTTCGTCCGAATATGGCTCAGCCCAGTGAAAGGTCAATGGTACTGTGTTGTTGACAGTACTGAGTTTGACGTAGTATGGTAAATGAGTCCCGCTTTGCGTGAGTTTAAACGCACGCTTGGGGATGCGACTCCACTCCAAACTGATAGCCTCTTTAAGGTCGTCGATAATGCCTTCGGCCGGAATGTCGAAACATGCAACGGTGGCACCATGGTGGCGGCCGTCAGAAGGCAAATTTTCAATCCAAAATCCTCGGGTCATCCGCAGCGGAGGCAGATGTTTCGGTGTCCGAGGGAGAATAAGTGGATCATCATCTTTACCGCCATCGGGTGGAAGCGACGCTTGTGCTGCATCTCGTTTCATGGCGGATAAAGCTACACATACACTGGGTCGCTGATGAGTGGGAGCAGGAAAACTGTACAGGCAAATGCTCTCACTGTATGCAGGACAGAAAAAATGTAAGTCAGGTCACAAGGTCATGCCAAGAATCACTGGTAGTTTTTCCCAGCAAGTGACATGTAATCCTGTACACGTCCGGTGTCCAAATCAAAATAAGAATCAAACGTTTCGGTTGGGACACTGTGCAACATACCAAAAATGGCAAGCACAACGGAGGTTGGCTCTGACCAGCATTTTTGCACAAGCCTTCGACCGTGCTGCAGGATTTCGGTGAAACTGCATCGGATCCCCAAGTGTGATATCACTCGCTTCAGAGGGAACGGGCGAACGCTCAGGTTTGTCCTTCTTGGACTTCATGGACTTCTGAGACTTGTTTGGTGACCGGTCCTTTTCAGCCTTTTGGACTTCTTGGACTTCTTGGTCTTCTTGCACTTGCTGGAGGACTTCTTAACCCAAGACGCCACCTCTGTGGGTGCCGAGTCTTTGGGAGGATCAAAAGCCGAAGACCAGGAGCTAGCATCATCAGGAAGTTCATCATATGGTACCCCGTGGTCTTGACGGGAAGCCATGCCGGTGGGTCGAGTAATCAAGACGGAAACGGCTGGCGGCACCACATGAGTAAAAAAGGAAAACACGCCTTCGGCTCAACGAGAGACAGAGAGAAGGGGGAGAGAGAAAAGGCGAAAAAGACATAAAACTGAGCGTCACGCTCATACGCGTTGTTTTGCAATGCGCAAAGACGGTTCCACTTTAGTGGTGCAGGCGCTCTAATCCGGTAATGATGAAAGTCCCAAAAATGTCAATTGGGAAAACGAATTAAGCAGACGAGTCGTCTGCTGTTCCAGCATGACAAAAGCTCTCACGGTGATGCATCTCGCTTGCGTTTTCGGGGTGACAAAGAATTGGCGCTCTCAGTAGGGAGGTTCAAGTCCACCGAAGAAGTGGTCTGAGAAGCTTGGTGCCACTGATTGTCAGCAGCCAAACGGTCCGAAATCCAGCGAGAAGTGGCGGGAAACCAAGATTTCCACCACGTTTCATTGCCACTGGGTCCTTGAATTTTGACCCAATAAAATCGCCACGAAACAGTCGGAGAACGCGATCGGGATCGATCCGACATGGCGTGTACCGCTGAAAGCCGAACGCTGGAACTGAACAGAGCGATTTAAAAAACCTAAGCGAACACATTGCATGCAAGACTCTTCTGCATATACATTCTGTATTGCAACAGTCTTTTTTCATGCATGACAGACTCCATGAATCTTAAGCCTCTCTCTGTACATCGGATACCGGTAAAGCTTCGGTGCTTCGTACAGAGTACTCCAAGCCCGGCCAGCTGACTCCCCAATCCTGTCCTTCCCCCGTTTCAAAAGTAATCGGCCGGGGATTGTTGGGGGTGGACATCGGCAACGTAATGGAGTGGGTGCTTGACAAAATCCAAATTTTGTCGATGCGCCCTGCGGCTTCACGTACCGCCCAGCGCTTATCTCCTGAAGGGGAGTGTACAAGCGGGTGGAACTTGCACAAGTGTCCTTCATGTACAGTACTGGAGGATTTGGATTTGTGATGCGCAGATCCAAGATATCCTCCAACGACCACTCCTGCGGAATTCTTCGTGGAGTGGTGCAGTTTTGACACGAAGTCTAACTTGCTCTCTTCATAGTACACGTTTTGTGTGGCTTTGCCATAAAAGGAGCACACATGATCGTGCGGCGCCACATGTACAGCTTCGGCGCTAGAGCGAATGACCCTGCCCAACGTGAGGATGCCGACCAGGCCTTCGGCCGTGGTCCCGTGTCCCCAAAGATAATAGCAGTTGGTCTGCTCTTCAGGTCCTGGCATATGTGCCACTGGAAACTCCCAAACATGCAATGCTTCTTGGGGCATGGCATACGCCTTGGCATCATGCTGAAAAATTGCCTTATATGGTATCTTGCTGGCCAAAATGGACCGGGCAAGAGTGACAATCTCCCGTTGGCCAATAGGAATCACAGGCAGAAAAGGTCGGTCTGCCTGGCCAAATCGGGTCAACAAAAATTTCAGCACATCCTCAACATCCTCTTTGAGGATTTTGGAAACTGGCAATGAACGTTGCCGAGTAAAAGTGATGCGATCAGTGAATCTTCGCATATGAGAATGTGGGATAATAGGCCACGTATGCAAGCCTTCAGTTGTGAGAAAATTCTCATGATAATGCAAAACAAAGAACATATACGCCAAGAGAGAACTCATTCCCTCCTCATAGAAATCGACAGCATTGCGGCCTTTGGCTCGAGCTGTGATTTGCTCTCGCAGTTGTTCATAGCTGCTGCGATGAGCAGCATGAAATAGCTGTTCCTCATCAACAGAAATCAAACCGGATTGAGCAGGAGGAACTGGGCTCTTTGGAGCCGGATTCTTGGGAGGTGTCTTGGGCGACGTGTTCTTGTGAAACTCCGGTGAGACAGCTGCCGCGACAGGCTCCTTGTTCTCCAAAATCGGGCCTGTCTCCGGTTTGCTTTGTGCATTGCCGGGAGCTCTAAAAGCTTGAGCAGCTTGATGTAATGCATCAGTAGCTGCTTGAGAATGCGAAGCAGGAGCTTGAACTCTGGGTGTTACTGGCCTTTGGCTCAGATTCCCAGCAGGAACACTAGGTACCCATTGCCCCGGCGGTCGCTGTGGACTGTTGCTGGGCCCTTTGTTTTCATGAGGCCGAGAACGGACAGAAGCCGGCTCAATAGATCTCGGTCTAGGCCGGGGTGGCATGTTTTCTAAGCTGGCCGAACGAAAAGGTGGGCGCATCGGAGGAACAGCACTGACCGACCTTGTTGGTGGTCGAGTAGGAGGCTGAGGGGGAGGCAGAACTGGTCGAACTGGGGCCGCGGGAGGTCCCTCAGGGTGACGTTCATGCCGATGATGTCGACGCCGTCGTCGTCTCGAGCGACTGCGATCATGACGCTCACGGCTGGGGTGGTGGGTGTACCGAAACCGACCGAGCTCTGCTAGCTTCCTGAGGAGTCGAAAGAATTGTAACCGGAGGTTGCGGTCCGCTTGAAGTCTGCACTCCAGGGGGTCCTCCGTAGAAGTGAAAATGGTATTGCTGGGCCATGGCTCTGGGTTGAAATATTCCTCCAACAGGCCGATATCCAGCTGAAAACCAATGCAGCTATGGTACTGAATCAGTAGCTGACGTGCACAATTAGGGACAAAAACATTGCAAAGAGGCAGCGAAACTCTCAATCGACAGACTTATTTGCTGACTTCATTGCAACGCATTCACAGGAAAACCTGCCTGTACATACAGTTGCTTGAGTCTGCGAAGTTGTCCCGGTCTTGACTCGGGGGGCCAGGAGTACTGGCGAATCAAAGATGCTCGAGAAAAGTATCCCGAGGCTGCCAGCTGCCACGATCCAGCGCTGTTGGGCGAGCGGATCTGCCATGGTTGCTCCGGGAGATTAAAAGTTGCTGAGCGAGTCTTGGCGCAAATGGTAAAACCCAACCATTGATGGTCTGACACAGTTTCCAACTGAATCCCATCATAAAAGTTAGGATCGCAGAATCTCCGGAGTTGGGACGACAGTAGAATTTTCTGAGGTCCCAGAATCAGTCTGTTATCGACGTAACGGAGAAACAAGAAAGACGATTGGATGGCCGTCGGCAAAGATTGCAAAAACTGCCGCTCGGCCAGGAGTACAGGAAGTCCGGAGAGGATCGGCGATATTTGATTGCCTATACACGTCCCCTCCACTTGCTGCCTGCACTTTCCAGCAGCTGTAAAAACTCCCGTGGCGAAGGATAGATCCACAATCAGCGGAACATCAGAAACCCAACACCTCTTTAAGTTTGATTTCGTTCTCCCCCGAGGTTCGCCCGGGTGTCCCGTTTTTGACAACATATCGATCGAGAGGATCGAACAGCCAGAAGTTTGGCAGTATTCTTGGACAATCAAATGCACTGCGTGCATGATGTCTTTTCGGGGAACTGCATTGAAAAATCCCACGAGATCGTCGTTCCATTCGACGTCTTCCTCGTGGCTTGGCTTCGCCCAATAAGCATGAAGAGACCTCCAGAGCTGTGGCATGCTCTGCATGCCTGGGCTGTCAGCAAACAGCGTCTTGACCATTAAGGTTAACGCAATGGAGGTCAGCTCCAATAGCTTGCTGCACAACGAATTGGAATACGAAATGATGGTCCGTCCCTTGGCAAACTGTTTCTTCCGTTTGAGGAACACAGTGCCTTGAGGCAGCGGAGCTGTTTCTTTGAAGGCCCAGGCGTATCTTCTGGACAGATCTCGAGGAACGCGCTCCAAAATGCGCTGTCTCCATTCTTCAGGGGTACCATCAAGAGTACGAAACACAGAGGGATCGTTCCATGTGGTGCTAACTCCTCGAAGGAAGAAGCGAGGACAATAGCACACGACATGATTCGGATGATGATCTTCGTTGTACAGAACAAAATCTGAGTGCAAGGCAGACTTCACCTTCTGTACCAAAGCCCAGTGTAGTCTGTCTGATTGTTCCAGGGCTGCAACATGTTGCTGCCACTGGTGGTCACAAAAGGATTGAAAAATTGGATGCAACGTCGCTGGTAGCTTGTGTCTCTTGAGCCACTGATCAAACAGAGCTCTGGACTTGGCCATCCAGTGATTGCGGCCTGGGAAAAAGGTGCTCGCGGCACTGGCCGATAAGATGCTCGAACAGCCTGGTAGTAGCTTGGTCAGGTTCTCCAAACCTGTGGCTACGTGGCCAGACACGAAGCAATGAGCAGGAAGTTTTCCTGCAAACTGCTCACACGGACAGTGCACCGACTCCAAATCAAAGTCGTGCTCCCACATCGTTTCTTCCCAAGATCGGAAGTTGTGGAGAAATTTCTTGATACTCTGGTGCGGAACTTCACGTAGGCTGTTCTTTGGAACATGAAAAGATGGAAAAAGATACTTGTACCGGAGGATGAGGTCTTTTAACCACTTCTCGCACTCCTTGGAAAACGAAGGAGACGCAGTTGGCAGGACTCCCAAAGGTCGGGAAGTCCGTGGCCAGTGCATCTTCTTGCGAAACTTGGCTACACCTTTGAGTATTCCTTGCACCCTGTTGCGATGAGGGTTTTCGATATTGCGACTGAGTTTGATGAGGGCATACACTTCCTCGTCAGCCGTCTTGTTGGATCGGAGCAGCTTCGCTGTTTCAAAGGATGCTCGGGTTCTCGATGCCAGCTTAAACAGAAGCCCCCAGGCTATCTCCCGAGAGTCATGAATGAAGAATTTCGAACTGCGACCAAACATGCGCTTTCGCAGTTTGCGCCAAAGTCGGAGGCCAAAGCTGCAATACAATGACCCTCTGCGTTTGGACGAAATTCGGAAACCGAGAGCGGTCTTCTTAATGAGAGACATTGCTCTGGGATAATTCAAAGGTGCCTGCCATTGAGCAATGAGTTCGTGCTCAACAGTCCAAGCTCGCTGGTAGCTGTCACAAAATTCCAGCGGAACAAGCACAAACTGGAAAAGGTTGTGTTGGGATGCCCAATATCTCAGGGACAATTCTGCATCCACAAATTCGGTTCTTTGAAGTCTTCTGTAGACTGCCATGCGGTTCAAATGCCGCTTGGCTGCACCGACAGCAGTGCTTCCCACATACAGAAGTGATGAGGGCTGACGGTAGCCCGAACGAAATCGACCCATGTCGAAATCAACTTGAAAAATGCAATATACAGTGTTCGGCTTCTCAAACAGAGAATAATGCAGAGTATCTGGATCCACTCCGAACTGCTGCAATCTCCGAACAATCTTGAATCTGTGTGAATCATCCTGGCTGGGTGCATTGAGGTAAAACAACAACACCAACGACATCAATGTATGCACCCAAATCAGCGGAGTCTTGGGTATTCCATCGCCAAACTCCAACATGAAAGCTGCTGCTGTACCAAGCGTGCACACTGCTGAAGCAAGCCTCTTACGGACCTGAATCGGCTGATGTTGCACCGTTTTTGCTTGGGTAGCTAGTCGAGCTGATTCAAACTGACATGCACCAATGAACGAAGACAAATTGGTGAATGACATCTTGCTGGCATGGCTTTTCTTCAAGCCGTACTTGATAGCGAGATCTGCCAGGCTTTGCCGATCAGTGGCTGAATCTTTCAGCACAGAGCAAACATCAGCCACATGTTTCTTAAAAGCTGCAGCTTGACCACGAAACTGGCTCTGATGCTTCTTGAGCCACTTTTCAACAACATCCGGGGAGCTGGAACTCGGAACAGAGTTCGGCGGATTCGGGAGTTCCGCATTCAAAATCTGCTCAGCTGACGGTGAAGGTGAAGCGGTGGGCTTTGGGCCAGTTTTGGCCTGCTTCTTCTCTGGAGTAAGAGCAATCCCAGCTTCCTTCAACTTTCGCTTCGCACGAGCAAGCTGTTCACTCTCAGGCGATTGCTGGCTTGAATCCGCCGGGGGAGGCGAATTGGCTTTGATTGTTGAAACAATTTCGCCAAGCAATGGTTGCATAAATCTCGCAGACTCCCTGTGCTTGTCAGGCGGAGCTGGGCCGTGCATATTTGCTGCCACGGCATCAAGATCAATCCGGTCTTGCCGAATGTGACGAAGCAGGTTAGTCACAAACACTGCTTCTGAAATCGACCTCACGAATACTAAGCTCTGAAATTCTCCATTGGACAAACGGCGGAGACTGAAGTCATCAAGACGTTTTCTCGTCAGGTCTGAGACACGAAGATCGGCGACATCTTTTCCAGCCAGTCCAGCTTTCGTAGACCAGGGCGTGGATTGGATGTTACGAAAGAACTTCTTGCCAGAAATAGCATTCTTGTCGTAACACTCCCAGTCACTGGTAAAAGACGATGGGATGGCAACATTGGTGCTGGGAACAGACTGTTGAGGGGATTTTTGCCAGTCACGGTTGTTCCAACCCGACGATCCTTTCTTCTCCCAAGACGAACTAGCCCAGGACGACTTGGCCCAATCTTGTTCACGGGTCCACGACATGATCGCAAAAGATTGCTACAGGCTTGTGTCTCGGAGCTGAAATCGTGGTCTGCGGATAGAAAAGCCGTTGGTTCCATCGGATCTGCAAAAATTCAGGACCTGCAATGAAACCTGGCATCAAACCTGACATTAAGTCAGGAGCAGAGAAAACATCGCGACTGAAGTAATCAGATGTCTGCACCATCGGAGCAGCAAATTCAGTCGGACCTGTGAGGACCACGACGGGCCCAAAACAATGTATCCCTGCCTTTATCAGATCCACCCTGGCAGGTACTCGCACGGGCTAACCCCGCCGCAGGTAGCGCGGTAAACGAATACAAGACCAGCTTGTAACTACCTGGGACACACTTAGACATCCATCGCGCAGCCACTAATCAATCTGGTTATCAAGCACAGCTTGATGTATCTCGAAAGCATGAAGCTTCCAGGGGGTCCGGTACCTGTCTGGCCTCAAGGCTCATCTTCACTTGATCTCTGACTTTTCCACTGTACAAGGCAAAATCTCCCAGACATGCACATGAAACTGCACTGCACTCCTGCTCGCAATCAACAGTTGTGTGGTCACAAGCTGCACGAAAGTGCCCATGCCGACCACTGCAGGTACGTTTACCTGTCTCAATATCACGGAGCTTCGTTGGCAGAGGCCGTGAAATGAGACCCTCTGCCCCCTGCAATTTTCTGTAATTCAGCACAACTGTCCAACGTGTTTCAAAAACGGTTCCTCTTGGTAACAGAGGTCCACACACACACACATGTTATATGTATATACATATGTACACATTCTATATGAATACTGATAAACATGCACATCTGCGTATGCATATGTATATACACATGTATATATCTATACATATGTACATGTATATGTATCCTGTCGCATCGGCATTTGGCTCAAAAATTCGCCCACTTGAGGCTATTACGAGAAATCGGTCGCCGTCATGCTGTTCAAGCTTGACCGAGCCTGCTTCGGCCTGGCTCTCTTGGGCATCGTGCCCGGGATGCCAGAGAGGGCTCACATGTCGAACTCCTGGGGCTGTGACTCATGTCTGGACGAGGAGGTGACGTGCATTGAATGAGGTCATGGGTGGCAGTGTGGTGATCATGAACAGCATCTTCACCTTCCTGCAGGACGGGCAGCATGCGACTACGACCGGCAGCGCATGACATGTAGTGAGCTCCACAGAGCCGCCACAGGAGAGCATCAGCCTTCAGCTCAGAAAGTTGGCTTTTGGCAGCGTCATCCGCATGCACATGGCCTTCTTCGATTCGCCGGTCCGCCAGTCCAGAGAGAGGGAGGGAGGGTTGCAGAGCTTGTGGTACAGATCGCAATGTGAATTTGAGATCCTCCTCATTGCGGACATGCTGGGCCTTTCCTTTCAGCTTTCACATGAGCCAGAATCAGCTAGAAAATTCCCTTGCTACAGCCACTTCTGAATCTTGATCGTCAGCTTGTCAGCTCGATGGCACCACAACCCCGCACATACCTTTGGCCTGCCCGGCCACAAGTCAGATGCGATATCCTGAAGCTTCAATGTCAGATTCCCATTTTCCAAACACCTGCGTGCCGAAACTGTGTTTGCAAGGAGAACCAAACAGCCGATCTGTTGGTGTCTTTGGAGAGGCATCTGGGCACAATCCCAGTTGTCCCAGCTCGTTCTGAGTTCCCGATCGTTACATCTGTATTCACTGTTGTGATTCTGCCCAAGCTTCTGCAGTGCAAAGTTGCAGCACTACATTTCGATGGCTGAGTAGTTGCTCAGTGTTCGACATGTTATCTTGATTTATCAGACAAATGTGTGACAACTGCTGCATGCCTTAGCTCAATAAAGTTGTTTTGGCAAGTAAGCTTGGCCGTGCGGTCGGTCCAAGTCCGAGGGGAAGAGACAGCACGGGCTTCTGCTGCTTTCACTCCGAATTCGCAGCATGAGTCTTCATTTGGAATCGTTGTGGCTTGGCAGTCTCTCCCACCATTGCGAGTGGGGCACTGCAATGATTTCAACTGGCACCTGCTCAGGCACATGATCCGGGTGTCACAGATGTTCGGTGTGAACTTGTGACTTGCCTGCAACAGCAATAGCATCAGAACAACGTCAAGCATCTATCTAACAGCATCCACCACAGCGACCACTACCACCACTACTGCGGTACCACCAGCACCGCCACTACCACCGCTACCACCACTACCACCACTACCACCACTACCACCACTACCACCACTACCACCACTACCACCACTACCACCACTACCACCACTACCACCACAACCACCACAACCACCACTACCACCACTACCACCACTACCACCACTTCCCGCAGCAGCAGTATCTATGGTTGGATTCATGTCCCGTAATCGTAGTAGTGCTGGCAGCTGGTAGCGGTAGCGGTGGCAGTGGTAGTGGTCACTGTGCCGAGCCCGTACCCAGAGCTGCTCTCTGTAGGTGTCGCTGGCTTGATGCACGGCCTGTCTTTCAACTATATGTGCGGTGCCGGTGCACGACAGATCGACAGATCTCAGCTTCTAGATTCTAGATTGGTGGCGCTTGCTTGGGCGCGGCACTTTAACAGCTGTTGCAGAACTCTCGCTCGCGCAGCGTTGAATTGAACCATTGTTGTTGTTGCTGCTACTGTTTGTCTTTCTGTTCGTATCCTGCTAATGGGTTTTGGCCTTGAGTTTGAGAACCTGACTCGATATGGCCAAGATGTTCAGGTCCAACACCGTCATGGCGGTCCTTACAGCGGTCGTCTCGGTTTTGGTGAGCTTCCTTGGGTCCTGGCTCCTCAGCTCCGGGCGTTATTCGCAATTCCTGCATGCGAAAAACGGTTTGGTGTTTCTGTGAGCTCGGTTTGGTGGATTGCTGGTTGAGGAGGACGTCTAGATGGTTTGGCCCCGAACAGGCTCAGCAAATGTGTTCCAATTTCAATTGGGTCCGAGCGCAAAGCGCCCAACAACTCTTTTCACAAGAATAGAAGTTGCAGAAACCCTCAGCCCTCAGCCCTGGAAGGTTGCAAGGCCGAGTAAAACCGAATAGCACGTACGCCACAGGCTGGTATAACGGACACAAGTGAATGCCAACAGGCGCTAAGGCAAAGCAGACTGCAGTCAAAGTTCGCACTTTATCTTAGTTGAAAGAGCGGAGGGGCAAGTGTTGAGTCAGGATCCATAGTAGTGGCAATGCGGACAATAGTTATCGTCACGGGCAGGTCAGAGCTTTGGGCCTGACAGCAGGGCAATTTCAACATGCCAGACGGGAAGCTGCAACGTGCGCGAGGTTCCTCGCCGCCATACTCTTGGGCGTGCTGCCCATTTGCGGCTTCCTCGCCATGTCTGTGTCCGTCATGGCACAGAAGGCCCGGTGTCTGACATGTCGGTCAACCCTGAGATTGCTTCCGGATTGTACCAAAAACCCCATCGAGAGCAAACGATACATTCATTGATCCCAATGATGGGACACCCAATGAACGGCACAGGGAAGGCACGATCCCTGTTAGATCTTTCTCCGATGTGGTAAACGTCAAGCAGCATTTCAAATTTCCAGTACCGCAGATGTTGGCCGTCACAGAGCTCGTCTCCGATGCTAAGCTACTTGACCGGGGCGGTCCAGGGCGACCACAAACCTGACAAAAACACACACTTTCCAATCTTGTCGCTGTGCCCGATGGCTTCTTTTAAGGCACCTCGTGACATGACTGGTTTTAGCGAAATTTCTTGATGGCACAGCTGTTGCTCTTCCTGCTTTGTTTGGGTCCGTTTGGGTATGACAGTATTGTTGAGGCCACTTTGGACCCCAGCCCCCTGCACCAAGAAAGGCCACTGATGGTACTGACGCAAGCAACTTCTGCCCTTCCCTTGGCAGCTCTCTCCGGGCGTGGAAGCGGCCTACGCAATGTCCGGCGCGAGTATTTCAGAAGCTGTCATGTCCATTCGGACAGTAAGGCCAGGACCTGTTCGGTCTGGGTTAGAAGGCAGGTGTTTGATCTAGATATTTTCTCACTTTAGAACTTCATCCTGGCATTTCTCGCATGCCTTCAACGCGTCCCTGTCTGGAGCGCCTTCCGCTTTCGGATTTCACATTGTTTGGTGGCTCGGTTCGAGAGGAGGGTGGTCCCCTCAGTAGGTTTGCAGAGGCAGGCTTGAGCTTTCTACCGCCATGTTTTTGGGCAGAGTTGTGTTGAGACTATGTATTGCAGAGAAGCGGACACCTATACAGTCGGCCGCACTTTTGTGCAGATGCACTGTCCGAGTGAGTCACTGTTTGCCGCCACTGCAAGGGAGACAGAGATCTACTGCTGTCGCTGGGACAGAGTATTCTGATCGTCGTTATGTTCAGCAGTTGGGTTTTGTATAGACGATACCGCTACCACAAGCATCATGATACATGCCTCGTTGTGAGTTGTTGATGGCGATGCAGTAACAGTGATTGCCATGATCATGGTCATCCAGATGACGATTAATGATTCCGGGCCTGAGGATCGTGGTGGCAATCGCGATGACGATACTGATTATTGGAAGAAGTTGTATTTGCAACAGTCGTGTGATGATGCAGCCGTAGTCCTTCGCATGCTCATTCGGCTTTCTTTTAGCTCCTGCCTGCGTCTGCCCCCTCGCCCTAACCCTCCTTGACTTTTCCCTCATCCTTCAGGAGCTCCGCACCCCGCAATCTCTTCTCACACTGGCATGCAAACGTGCAAACGGACGGGATTGTCTTGTGATGATCAGCATTGTCTCACCCTCCCAGTGAGGAGTCGAGGGCACATGCACGATCTGCACATGGTGAGGGGATGAATGATACGCATGCATAACGTCAAAGCGTTCTTTAACGAGTGCAGCATTGTTAGCCTTGTGTGTAAGAATCTGAAAGAATCATGTTCCGCACTGAGCCCGGAGCCCGTGTCGACTTGCTAATCGCTGGATAGACGGACCGTGTCGGCTAGGGCGCTGGGTGCGGAAGAACACACACTGGACATCGTCTCCGGCCTGCTCCAGGCACTTGCAGCACTTGCAGTTTCAAGTTTCCCCTTGCAACTTTACCTTGCGTACGGCTGCAGCCCCAGGTGATGTCGGACTACCACAAGGGCGCGGCCTGCAAGAAGGCAGTCGATTGCAGTCGGTCTTGAGCTTCAGGGTACGAGTCGGTGCTCAGGCCTTCGCTTTCGGCTTCAGCTCGGGCCTCGTGCAGCTGGTCTACTTGGTGGGCTTCTGGCTCAGTGCGATCATGATCAGCAGCGGCAAGTTCAATGCCGAGCAGGCGCTGTTGGCAAAGCAGAGAGCAGGGTGACAGAGCAGAGAGTACAGAGCGGCGAGAGCGGACGGTGCTCCGAGGTGCTGCTGACCCTCTTCTGTGTGACTTTCGGTTTGCAGAGCGTGAGCATGATCGCCATGTACCTGCCGGACTCGGCCTCAGGTGCTGTCGCAGCCGCAGAGGTCTTCCGTCTTGTCGACCTGCAGTCGAACATCGATGCGGTGGAACCTGAAGGACGGATTCAGAGCCTGGGAGACGGGACGATTCGCTTCGAGGACGTGGTGTTTTATTATCCTCACCGCTCCGAAGTCATCGTGTTAAATCGGCTGTCCCTCGAGATTCGGCAAGGCCAAAGGGTGGCCGTCGTCGGTTTCTCGGGAAGTGGCAAGTCCACTGTTATCCAGCTCCTCCTGCGCTTCTATGATCCCCAGCGCGGTAGAGTAAGCATTGGAGGCCAAAACCTGATCCAGCTGGATGTGGCTTGGTTTCGTCGTCAGGTAGCTCTGGTGGGTCAAGAGCCCGTACTCTTCAATATGTCTCTGGAGGACAATGTGAAGTACGGGCTCCCTGGAGCCAGCCACGAAGAGGTGCTAAGCTCTGCCCGTGCTGCGAACATGGACTATGCGTTGGACGGCACGAAGCCCTGGTCTCATCGTGTCGGCCTTGGCGGCGGGAAGCTGAGCGGAGGCCAGAAGCAGCGATGCGCCATTGCACGGGCATTGTTGCGCCAACCGAAGATACTGCTTTTGGACGAAGCCACATCGGCGCTGGACTCTAAATCTGAGGTTCTGGTGCAGCAATCCATCCAGCAGATCCAGGCCACCACCATCACAGTCGCCCACCGCTTGTCCACCATTCGGGACTCCGACAAGATCTTCGTCCTTGCAGAGGGTCGCCTTGTTGAGCAAGGCACCTATGCCCAACTCATGGCCATGCAAGGCAGCTTTGCCCAGCTGGCGGCCAGGAGCTTATGAACCCGGGGGCCTGCATGTCATGTCTGGCCTGCGCATCGATTGCAAAAGATGGGCCTACCTTGTCTTGTTGTCTTGTCTTGTCTCGAGTCCAACACGACTTTCAGCAGTGCGGCGTTACTCACTCTGTGCTGGATTCGAAGCAGGCTCCATGCACTCGCATCGCTGGGCTCGAACAGCTTTTGCAGATAGCAGGCACCATGAGCCTGGCAATAAGAACGCCCAGGAACCCCCTTGTTCAAAGTGTCGTTCAAGGCATCGCCCTTTTCACTCGCGAACTGTACCCCCCCGTACAGGCACTGAAGCTGCCTCTGCAGTCGAACCAGCATCGGCTGCATGAGCACCGCCAGCCAGACAACAGCCGACAGCAGCACAGCAGACAGCTCTATTATTGGAGTTCTTTCCGGCCTTCTGCTGCATGGAATTCCACGCCTCTGCGATCAGCAGCCGGCAGTCTGAGGTGCTGTGGCGCTTTTTACTTTTTGCAGTCTTGAAGGGGCCGTACCCCTTCATCCCCCCCCAAACACGCTACTTCTAGCGACTGCCCTGTCTCAGGGAGCTGAGCTTCTTCGGCTGCTGAAAGATCGTAGCGAGGCTCTCTTTCCGCCACTTGCAAAACTGTCCTTGACTCCGTAAGGCTCCGTCGGATTCACGGGGTCTGGGGATTCATGGTGTCACGATGTGATTGCTATTTGATCGAAAAACTCTAGCAGGATGGCTGCTGTGTCCGAGCGTAAGCTTCGCAACATGTTACAGCCTGGATCGACGCTGTTCGAAGCCAAGGAACGAGAAGGAAAAGGATGGAAAGGACTGGCTTGGAATTCGCAGTACAGATGTGCCCTGAAGAGTTGCGAGTCAAGCCATAACACCGCAATCCTCCAGGACAGGTTACGGAAAGGAGCGACGCTGGTCACTAGCATGCCCGTCATGAACTTGGCACACGAGGATTTCCAGGTCCACGCACGCCAGCGAGTCGCCTACGGAGCCCTGGACTTTGCCAAGACTCCTGTGCAGCTGCTGCGGCTCGTCGGCTCGTTGCACCAGGGCCCGGATTCTCGAAATCTGAGACCGTTGGGTAAGAGGAAAGTCGGCGGACACGTCTTGGCCCCTTGCGATCTTCGACTTGTAGAGAGTTTCAGGTCGGGTTTGTAAGGTTTACGGAAAAGCCCACGTCTTGGAACTGGAGGTTCCTGTGCAGCAGTGGTGTCAACATTCAGATACTGCACAGTACTTCAGTTAAGCTTGCCCGTCTGAAGACTTGCACTGAGGATCAGCGTGCACCTCCTCACTTTCTACCAGCAGGCGCGTCTCCGCTGTGACCCAAGCTGAGAGAATGTGAACAGATGTGGCCGAATACGTGCAGGCTTTGCTGCAATTCTGCGATTGATTTTCTCGTAGTCTGTCACAGTTTAACGAGGCCGGGGCCTCCTTGGGAGCGATCGCCTTCTTCACCTCAACCGCCCGCTGCTTCGACGTCTTGTCAGATCCGTTGATGGCCCAGGCCAGGTCAAACCGAGGAGCACTACTTGGAACAAAGCAGCGATGTAGGTGGTAGCCGGTAGCAGCCGGTAGCTCACGATGCCCCTGTTGCTGCTGCAGCAGACGGCGGTATCTTGGTCAACTGCCTCATGCTTCGTTCGCTTTCCGTCTGAAGACCTGCTACAAGTCCCCATGCTGTGTCTGCTCCGAGATAGGAATCAAACCTCTGTGTGCCAGATCTCGGACGGCTTTTCCTCAAGGTTCGGCCGCCGAAGGCCGCTTCTCGCCTCGAAAACTTTTTTGGGCAAAGGTTGAGGACTGCTTTGACTGGGATGCTTTGGTGATTCATGTGCGGGCGTACTGCCCTTGTCTATGTGCTTTGGAGTGTTACATAAAGTTACACGTTCTGTCCTGAGTTTGGTGACAGCTCCCATGATGACGAGCATGATGATTATGATTAAGGGTGACGGTGATGTTGTTGATGATGATGAAGGGTTACGAGGCTAGCTAGCTTCAGTTTCCAAGAACGACATTGTCCCGTGATCCAGCACAGGTTTGTTTTCGCCGGCTGCATTCTTTACGGCGGCTGCCTCCTGGTGCCTGCGGCCGCACAGTGGCCATACTTCAACCTCAGCGCAAGATACCAAACGAGAAGTCTCTGGACGCTTGCGGTGCCCCATGCGCCCCGACAACCTGGTGTGCGTCGAAACTCCCACAAAAGTTCTTTCATGCGATTGTTTCTTGAATGAGAACTCGGATTCCAACGGTGACCATTTGTCGCGAAAGGAGACTGCATGGTGAATTTACCGATGTGTCCTCTCATATGCCCTCCCTAGCGACTCGTTCAACAATGCAGGAGGCAAGACATCCCGAAAGGAAGCATGGGACACTCCCTCAATCCGGCCAGGCACTCTGCACACCGCCGGAGTCGCTTTCGGGGGCCAGCACCGGCGTTTGGTTCGGGTGCCATGCCACCAAAGACGAGAAACAGAAGGGGAAAGAAAGAGAGAGACCTAAGAGTCAGCTCAAAACACGTGGCCGTTCTAACCCTTCTGGCTAGGTATGAGGATTGGGGTGACGTGAATTGGTTCTGTGTTTCTGGTGCTTGCGAGCCACTGCCTTCCTGAAAGTTGCACGTTTCCTCGGGCTGTTTGTGCATCCTGCTCAGGTGCTTCTACATCCTCTTCTTTCTGACAGATACGCCCCGCGCTTTGAAGATACCCCACCTGCAGAAGCCAAAGCCTCTCTGCATGCGTGCTGTCGGTCGTTGCTTGGCAAGTTGCGGGCCCTCAGACCCCTGAAGCTGCGATGTGTGGACTCAGGCTTATGTCAATCCCGCACAATGCGCTCGGGCAGGAGATCACTTCAGACACCGATCAGAGGCACGATCAAATGTTGGGGTTCTGACCTCACGAGCCACAGGTCTGCGGCCAAACAGCGGGAGCACACTTCTCGCTTTTCTTCAGTTGTTCACTTTCCTCAGCCAGAGGCGCCTGGTTTTCATGGTGGCCAAGATTTTCCAGGCAGGTATAGTGTCAAAGACGATTCTCCAAATCTCAGTTGCTTCTGGAAGCTTCTATGCACATGAGCTGTTTTTCGTCCGAGCACAGTGGCCGATTTTCCGAATGCGCAGCAAGACGCATTGTTGTTGATTTTTGATCGAAGCTGTGCTGCAGTTCATTGTAATGGCCAGATTGCTTTGTGCTCCTTGTGGTGTCATGATGTCGATATCGTGGTCGTCGCGGTCGTCGTAGACTCCGACGTTTTGTGGGAGCGGGCCAGCGTGGAAACCTACCGATGCTGGCATAGTGCATCGTAGTTATCTTGGCTGAAAGCGCTCGCCATGCTTGACATGGTTCAAGGGTGCTGACGCAGGGAAACGGGCGCTGGCAAATGCTTGCATAGGTCCGTAGGGTGCTCTTCAGCCAGGCTCTTGGCATGATCGCTGCGGCGGCTTTACCAGTGCTCCTCGGCTTACCTGAAGGCCTGGCAGAGGCAACGTCTTCCTACGGTCCTACAGCGGGCCACTCCCTTTGGTTGCCTTTGTTTGTGTCCTTTGTCTTTGTTTTCTTTTGTTTGCGAACGTTTGCATCCGCCCCAGGCTCTTGGGAACTATTCTCAGCAGCTTGGCATGGTTGGCTTGGCGTCCGACATCTCGGGGTTTGGGAGCCAAGGTGCAGACTGCAAGCTGCCTGCTGAGTGTCATGGGACCGCTGCAGAGGTGCCGGACTTGGTGGTCTGAGGCTTTTCATTGTCCAGATGAATTGAACTTTCATAGCATCTGCCCCTTGCCTGCCGAAAAGTAATATCACCAGCGGGATGCCAACGGCAAGAAACCATCCAGGGTGTTCGAATGAAGCCACGGTCGTTTTTTTGTCCCTGTTCAGCTTGTCGCTGTTGCGAGGATCACTGTGCCGCGCTGGAGCGCAGATGCCGCTAGTCAGCCATGAGACGGGGTACCATCTCATGTCGGACAGTTGATGAGTCTCGGGCCAACAACCAGTGCAGGGGACACGCCGAATTTCGTAGCACAGCCGATGCGCTGTTTCTCAAAAACGGTGTTGGAACTTGAAAGAAGCTTCCTCATGTAGTGCTAATCAGTTAATCATGTGAGTATCTGGCTACGGGATGTGAGGGCACGAACAAACGCAGGACTAGGGACACTTGAAGAGCCTGTCTGTGTTTACGTCAGGGCTTCGGAGGTCGGTTTGTAGTCCAAGTGGCCCTCACACAACTTGGAACGCAGACCTGGCCTGTTTCTCTCCTGCAGGAAGCAAAATTGTCACCGTTAACCGTTAACCTGAGAAGAAAATGGTTGTTGTAATGCAGCACGTGCTGCCAATCTAGCCATGTTCTTGAATCCTCCGAATGTGCCGAAGCCTCTCACCGCATTTTGAGTTCAGGCGATGGCATTCAAAGCCGACAGGCGATGCTGGAACCTTGGTGCAAAAAGTTCCATATTACATCATTGACTGCCATGTCCGGGTGACCCAGCTCTGTAATTCTTAAGACATGATTTTCCATCTAGCTGGTCAGCATCCGCTTGGTTCGAAGCTGCTTCGGGGTTCCGGCAGGTTGAAAGGCTTATAGTAAGGCTTCATTTGTGGGCGGTCCACTCACTTCTATTTCTTCTGTGTGCACCCATTCTTGTAGCCAGGACTTGAAATCAAAGGAGGAGCGAGCAAGTTTCCGATCGAGGCCCAAGCCATTAAAGACTTTCACTGGACGCAAAGCCATGCAAAGCCAACACCCAACAGTGCCAGACAGCAGTCTCGTGAATGGCGTGCATCAGACACAGATGGACTTTCACGAGCGAGGCAGGAAGTTCTTTGAAGAACTTCATGTCAACCACCGAAGGTCTGTAGATCAAGGCTGCATTGAGACCGTGCCTAAGACAAGGCCACGGGCCTCATCTTCGGCGGTGTCGCCGTTGCTTCAGGTGCACCGGCGCTGAGCTTGACGGGTTGAGTTTGAGAACTTACAGATTGGGGCACAGTCGCTTCGGGCTCCCCATGATGAGAGCCCAACTTAGGCTCAGGGAGCGTGCGGTGTGATGGCGGCTAGACCGCCAAAACGGCGTGTGATGCAACATCATCATGCAAGTTGAACAGGGCGATGCATGTCAGGGCTGGTGACGAGGTGGGCTCCGTAGTCAAGGAGTGCCTATAGATTGCTCTCCCCGCTCCTATGCATTCTTCCAGGTTTCGCCTGTGTCGCGGTGATCCGTGAGCGCAAGCCGGTTCGTGAGGAACGGGCTCAATGTGTAGTGCGCGAGGCTTTGATGGTTTTCTTATCTGCCGCTCCGCACCAAAGATAGCCCCCGCCCCTGCTTTGTCTTCACCTCTTGGACTCTTGGGACTCTGACGAACATGTCGATGGTACACTCGATGTGCGACAATCTTGAGCTCGACACTCCCTGCCAGGGTGAGGATGGACTTTTGCAGCACCGGGACCCGGGAGACGATCAGCCAACGACGCTTTCTCTGCAAGCGGGCTTGGGCAGGACATCATCCTGGACCCAGATCGGACCCCCAGAGGTGAAAGGAAAACCTGGACCCGAGCCCGGCCCCAGGAAATGCCGACATGCACGTGAGTGCCTAGCTGTTGTGTGCAAGCATCCTGCTGTGGGGTGAGATAGACTCACAGAGAAGACCAACTTGGGCCTGTTTGGGGGATGTACTTTTCCACGATATAAGAGAGCGAAGGACAGACTAGGAAGAAGGATGAAATAGGATGAAGCAAAGGGAGGAGTAGAGAGGAACAGGGGAGGAGGAGGGAAGAGGGAGGAACAGCGAGAAGGCAGGCGGAGGGAGGGAGAGGAGGAGGATGATTCAGCACAGGTTTCACATCACGAGCACAAAAGCAGCACCATAAATTGCCTTCCTCCGGTGCACGAACCACGAACCACGACGACGCCGTGAGTCTTGCGCGATCATGTGCCTGAGCTTGAGACCGCCCGCGCCGCACATGCGTAGTTAAGGCAGACGCAACCAGCTTGCTTGCAGCCAAAGCGCATCAGTTGCAGGTGCTGTCTCGCGTTTGCCCGAAGATCTGTTGGGGAAGTTACAGCGACCACGGCCTTCTTTAGTCTGTTTTTGCTTCCTCTGAGAGGATAAGTCCTTTTCCCGAATGGCAATAGCCTTGTGTCCAGAGACACATGCTGTAGTCGCGATTTGCGATACGCGTTACTGTACAACATGCAAGCCTGCGAACTGTTTGCTGTCGCGATCTTTTACTGCTACGGTCCGTGGGCCGTATGATGTTTCTGAGACGCGAGATCGTGGGGAGGGAGCCACCCCACCCACGGCGGAAGCCCAGGCAAGCCGAGCTTTGTCGTGCTCGTTTGTTCTTTTTTGCTTTTGCGATGTGTCTGGTTGGGGTACTCAAAAAGACGTTGGCCAGGCAATTGCTTCTACAACGCATGTGTTTGCCAAACCAGCCGCGGCAAGAGTTTTCAGCCGAGCCGCCTGGAACCCTACCAGGGTATGCGTGCTTGACAGCACAAGATGTGCGAGGTATTCTCAGAGAGGAAATGCTTTGCTGAACTGCCGGAAATGGAGATACTTCGAGCTTTCTGGCGGGGGTCGTGGCACAAGTCTCCTCCCACTCACCATAACCCTCTCTCGAGCAGTTCTCTTCGTCCTGTAGATAAATGGATGGATGGATAGAGAGACATCGTAATCGTAATGTCCAAGAGTACGTTGCGTGCATTCAGCCCATGACACGTTTTCGTTCAGAAGATAGACGACCTTTTGCGATTTGCTTTGGTCTGTCGGAGATACTTCGTGGGCAGCACGAAAAGTGTACTCGACTCCTCATGCTCGAAATTCGCGAGCCATGATTGGACGGCTTTGAGGGAACGTGTCATGCACTCTTGCTTTCCACGCCAGAACGAAGTGTGCGATGCTGGAGCACCTCAGAGTGTTGATTAAGTCCTGTTCTGCACAGGAAGTTGGACGGGATCTTGCCCGGATTCCTGGCTCCCGGGCAGAATTTCTTGCCGGATTCGTTTCAGCTGGATCCGCGCAAACCTCTTTGCTTTGGATCCGGATGTTGTCCTTCTCAGTTATCGTCCTTCTCAGTTATCGAGAGCTTGCACCAGTCTGACATGCTTATGCGTGCGGGAGGGAGCATCTCGCGCTGACCCCAGGCAATGCTGCAAAATCGCCCTTTCCGGGTGGCCCAGCTCAATTGGTCTAGAATGTGATCGAATGCGAATGAAGTACCCCCAAAGCGGGTTTGAATAGTTTGGTCTCTGCAAAGAAACAAAAGCCGCGATCGATGTTCGGCTGTTTCGCCCTTCTGTCTCTCACCATAGCATCGCTTCAGGCCATGATCGCTCCTTGGATACTGGATCAGACCATCGTCGCCATGCTTTCGTCGCTTCTTCCCTTCTACGTGCAGCAGCCGGATCGCAAGAGGTTTGCAGGAGCCGAATTGCAGTCAGTGTGAATGTATTATCGCATCCTGGTGTGCAGTCATGCTTCGGACATCAGTCGAGGAGTAATCGCATCAAGATGGTTTTCACCGCTTGGCCTCAGGTATGTCATCTCCCCGGAGGTGGTGTGCCAGGCCGGCCCCGGGTGAGAGCAGCTGGAGACCCCGAAAGTCAATCCTGCTGTAAGTTAGGGTCGCAGCAAGTCCCCTGTCGCCCAGCAAGTCTCTACTCACCCTCAGCAGGATTACCCTGTAGTCCCCAAGTTACTGCAGTCGGTATCTTCGAGACGTTCCGAAACTATAAGTTGGATTTGCAACGCCGCTCACGATCCACTTGCCTGGAAGACGACCTCACCTGCCAGACTCGACATGTGAGCATTAAACCATGCATAGGTCAGTAGTCCGCCGATTCCGATTGCCAGCGCCCGATGCAGCTCGAGAATGCTGTGCCTCAGATGCAGATCGGGCATGAGAGGCTTTGAGATTCTGCAGGATTCAGATTTTGCAAACAACTTTCAGCATCACAGCAACTCCACCATTCTGCACCGCTTAACTGGAATCTTCATCGTGTTGGGACGGCAACAGGCGGTGTGCTTGATCTGGTTGAGCAGTTGAGCAGCTATGGGTCCGGTGTCTTGTTGCGCATCGTCGTGATATTCTTGGCTTCCTGCGAGCAGTCGTGTTGGGGCCGCACCCTTCATGGCCATGGGGGCATGCTCGGCATCAGTCGATTTCAACGTTTTCCCTGCAGTGTATCGGTTGGCCGATTGGAAGAAAGGCTGGGCATTGGCCTCGTCTGCATGCTGCTGGCCGCCATCTTTTCCATGCCTCTCTGGCAGCGCGCGGCGATGGGCTTTGGAGACTACCAGCGGCCCTCACTGCAAATGTACACACGTGGACTTCTTGTGTGTGGCATCTTGAGCACTCATTCGCATGTAACAGCATGCAATCATGTTAGGCATGTGCTGGCAGCAGCAGTCGTGTCAGCACGTTCGCTGGTCGGGTCCATGCAGTTAGGACGGACTGGGCATCCAGCAGTGCATGCTACTGCCCAGTGAAGCACCAAAACTTGCTGCTGAAGTTGGCATGACCCTTTGTCATTTGTGTGTCTCCCGTATGGGAGGCACATTGTACCAAGCATCAGCTGGAGCCAAGAAGCAATGCTCAATGCTACTGAGAGAATCTGCAGATCTGAAGCTGGCTTGTGCCTTGACGGCTACGATTTGCAACGGTTCCAGGGTCAGGCCATCATGCAGCGGCAGGCTTGAATACACAAAATTGTAGCTCAGTCTTGCCCCCACCAAGTCCCTTGTTGACTTTCCTGGAGCTCAGTTCCACTTCGTTGTATTTGCCCTTCTATTACCGACTTGTTTACGCAGTTCAGAATGCCCCGACAAGCTCGGCCGCCTATCTTCGAATTGCACATGACGGTAAGCTCCGAATTCCTGAAGCCTCGTGGCTCCGACCAGGAGTCTCTTTCACCCTGAAACGCGAACGCCCAGGGAGCTGCTCCAAACTTCCGTCCTCGATCAGCCGGGACCTTTCCAAGGACCTGGTTGGCTTTTAACTTCTTGAACGCCATCACTACGATTCTGCCGCGAGCTTGCAGAGAATGAACCGAGAGCACAGTGGCCTTGATTTCAGATTCCAAGTCATTTTACCCGAAAAGAGCGACCGGCTCAACCGTTTCTGGATCCTAACAGCCAAAGCTCCTGACAATTTGTCTTGACGGCCGCGTTTTGTCCACTACTCAAATCATGCTCCGAGAGCCCAAAAGCTGGGGAACTGATGTAGGAGCCAAACCAGACACTTTCGGGTTTCTGCGCAGTCTTGGGAGTTTGAATTATTGCTCGTGTTTGCTGTCAGTCGCAGCACTTGCGCCCGCTTCGTCTTTAGTAGAACGATTTCAAGCTTTACCAAACCTTGTTGGCACACACGGCAAGACCTCCTAGCCCTCAGAATGCTGGGATTACAAGCCTTAGTTTTGTGGCTCCTGCGGCTAGGATTCAGTTTTACTTCGTTGGTCTTGCGACTTTGGTCTAGAGGCCACAGCGAAAGGTCTAACCGAAGAGCAAGTGAAGATGTGGCTCCGACGGGGATTTTGGGCACTCTTTCAAGAGGCGTGCAGCTGGGGATGCCAGGGTAGTTCATTGTGTAGACTGTGCGGCCCTGTAGGAGGCTCATGCATGCGAGGAACAGGTGTGGGATTCAGAGAGCTCCAGACTCAGACAGGTTCATCGTTGGCCAGACCTCAACACTTGCCATCGTTTTAACCATCTGCTTCGCCATCCTCAATGGTGCTCCCATAGGCAGGGCCTGAGTGGTGTTGTGAAGATTTGAATTCCAAGCCGCAAAGTCACGATAGCATCAGGCTTCACACGGTTCAGGATCTGTAGCTTGAGACTCCAGGTTCAAGTCTGCGATGCACATATGCCAGATACGCCCAGAGTCGGAAGAAACGGACCCCGGAGCAGTCATCAAAACAGAGCATAAAACAGAGCAAGGACGAGGTCAGGGAAGGTTGGGGGTTGTGCATCAATGATCCTATTGTTGTCTCCTGGATTGTGTGTGTGTTCATTAAGCTACAGATCGACATGATTGGCGGCTAGTTCTCGTGTCACGAGAGCAGTTGATTAGTCAGGCCGCGACAGCTAACATCCCTCCATTCCTCCGTCCGTCCATCCATCCATCCATCCATCCTTCCATCCTTCTATGCATGCGTCCATCAGCCCATCTGTCCATCCATTCATCCATCGGTCCATCCACCTACCCATCCATCTATATATCCATTCATCCGTCATGGGTCCAACACTTCCTATAAGCTCTTCTAAAACTTGTATGAACCCTTCTGTGAACACTTCTATAACCCTTCCATAAGCCTTCTGCAATAGAAACCCTTCAGTTGACCTCTTCGACAAACTCCGCTACAAGCCCTGCTAGAGATACTTCCAGAAACCCTTCTACAGAACCCGCCTGTAAACCTTTCTAAGAACCTCTCCGCGCTCCTGAAAACTTCTCTATAGCACGAACCCTCCATAAACGCCTTCTACATACTGGCGGAATTGTGGTCCGCAGTCTTCACTGTATGCAAGGCTGCATGTCCTTGCTTTTTTGAAGGCCTCGCGGCCCAACGTCGTTGTAGAGGTAAGTTCTCGTCCAGTTCAGTGGGCTCGACGAATGACGGAGGTTCAGCGTTCGCGCTGTGCCTCCTGACATTCTAGCCTGCATTTTCGTGCCCTTGCATTGCAAAATTAATGATGATGGCAGAGAGAGAGAGAGAGAGAGAGAGAGAGTCAGTCAAACGTAGCCATTTTGGCTCAAGCCGCGAGTGCTCAAGGTGCCGCCCCGTGACCAGGCATCTCAACCGAAGTAGGGGGAAACAGTCCCGTGACAGGTGTGACATCCCGAGGACCCGCTCGGACCGTGCCGCCATTCGAGCTCCACTACCTGTTTGCAATACTACGCGGGGGCAAGATCATCGCTCTGTCGCGTGAGTTCGGCGGCTTCGGAGCACACGGGTGTCGGCGCTGAGGCGTGCGGGGGAGTGTGTCAACCACTATCACATAGGCATCGGCGGCCTACGCGTGAACACCTTCCACTCGCCGATTCACCGGGGGGACTACCTCGAACGTCGCCTACCACATCCCAGTGATCGTGACTTGGGCATCGCCACCGCGAATAATAACCATGACTACACCAATGGATGCAGAAAACCCAGGGGGGACCAAGAAGAGGGGAGCACCAGCAGGGGGAGATGGCCTCAGCCTGGATGCGCAAGGGCGAGCTGTCAGCCAACAGCCAGGCCCTCAAGCAGGAGATCTCCCAGTCGGTCAACAAACGCATGGACACCGTGGAAGAGAAAGTGGGAGGACAGCTAGAACGAACGTTGGAGAAGCTGGCGGCCCTGACAGACAATCAAGCTGAACAAGGCCGAGCTATCGCTGCAGTCCAAGCCGACCAACAAGCCACCGGGGGAAGACTAACACAGCTGGAGCAGAAGGTTCAACAGCTCCAACTCCATGGGGGAAGCTCCACAGCTGACACCGAGGGGGGCGCGAAGCAACCTGCGCTCATTTTCGGTGGGTGGGACGAAAACACCCCGGCGGCTGAAACCCTGGAGAAGGCCAAAGACATGGTCAACCAGTTGCGCCTGGACATTGACATGGAAGGCGCCTTCTGCCCGGGGGTTCGCAGAGGATACGTCATCATCCCCTACCAGCCACGCCGCAACGAGACCGGGGGAGAACTGCGAGAACGGCTTCAGCAGGCACTGAGACGCATCAGGAACGCCAACGTGGTGATGGGTCGCAAAGACGATGGGGGGACAAGATATCTCTGGCTTCAGATGAGCCAATCCCCAGAGAGGCGCCGCCGTGCCCACTTGGCGGGAAAAGCAAAGAGGCTTATCCTGGCTGCCAATGGGGGGAACAACCACGGCCTCGAAGTGGAGTGGGCCACCGGGACTGTCTGGTGGAACGCCACCCGAGTCTGCTCTGCAACCACCTCGCCGGTGATGGGGGCGGAGACCGCGGGCGCAGGCTGGATCGACTTACGAGCCATAGCCGCAGGACTGGGGCAGCCACTGGCAACAGTGACGGACGCGTGGGGCGAGCTCAAGCAGGCCTTGCGCTGAGGAGAAGAGCCCACGGGGAGCACTGACGAGAGTGAGGAGGACGAAAAGCCGCCCTCCCCACGGCTGAACACTTGCGTTTTCAGACCCCTCAAGGGGGTGGACTGTTTTCACCTGGCAACTTGGAACGTGGGCGGCCTAACAGCCAACGGCACGCTTGACCTGCTGCGCTCGTTCGGGGGAGCCAAACACCTTTGCATGTTACACGTGATCCTGCTGCAGGAAATCATCACTAAGCCTGGCAGGTTTTTTCAAGAAGGGCACGGATGGAAGTTGGTCTTCGGCAAGCAAGAGGGAGAGTTCAGAGGAGAGGCCATTGCTTTTCGCACAGCGGTCGCTACACACACACAATCGACAGTCACACAAAGGGGAGTGAGCACGGTCCTGCGCATGCACACGGGGGACAGATGGGGGCTGCTCAGTGGTCACATCCCACACCACGCCACAATACCTGAAACAGAGATGATCCTCGCTGACTGGGGGGACCAGCCCGCATTCAGCACACCTAAACTGGTAGTGGGGTTGGATGCCAACGAACAGCTCACCGAACACGCAGCAGACGCCACCCAAGTGCGAGCACAGACGGGGCGAGGAGAACTACTCCTCAACTGGGGAACACACCACCACCTGCGCATGCCACCACAAGCCCTCCACGTCCCCAGCTACCACCCGTACAACCAACAACACGACCCAAGTCGTTTGGACTACCTGTTGCTTAGAAAAGGGTACAGCCTTGCAGCAGGCCCTATCCCAGCCAGACACATAGCAAGCTCGGACCACGAACCGGTCCTGGCGCAGCTCAGAGCAACAGTGCGAAAGCTCGCCAAACCCAACCACACAGGGGGGGTGCGACACCTCCACCCACCGCCAGGCACGACCGTGCCAGACTACCTGGACCACACAGCACAACAACCGCCAGCAGACCGCCACCACCAGATCGCCCAGATCTGCCAGCACATCACCAAACCAGGCCGGGGGGACGCAGCGCCGTTCTGTGAAAGCGCTCAGCTCAGACAACTGCGCCGCGCAGCCCATGCCACCCCACCGGGACCCGCGCAACGAGAGGCATGGAAAGCCGTCCAGAAACAGCTGAAGGGGGAGCGCAAACAACACCTACAGCAGCTGGTCCAACTCGCCAGCAGCAAGGACTGGGCAGCCTTCCGCCAATACCAGAAGCAAACCACCAACAAGGGAGCATGGCTGGCAACGCTAGTTGACACTCACAACTGGCAAGCAGCCCTACTGAGCCACTTCTCCAGCATCTTCCACAAAGCCGACGGAGCCGCCAAACAGCAAGCCTTCATCCGCATGAGCAACACACTGGCGTGGGGATGCAAACACACACCATGGCGACCTTTCACCCACCAGGAACTCCTGGTCATCAGCAGCAGGTGGGGGAAGCATAAAAGCACAGGAGTTGATGGCATCGCACACGAGGCACTCCAGATGCTGATCCTTCACCCAATCTGGGGGGGAAGAGTCCTTGCCATGCTAAACGAGGCCCTCTACTCCGGTAAGCTACCCGCTTTGGTGGAACGGGTCCTGACGGTACTACTACCAAAGGGGGGATGCCCAGCAAAGTGGGGGGATACCAGACCAATCACCTTGAGCAGCGCCGTCCTCAAGACACTTGCGCAGCTACTGCTGCTGAGGGGGACACCCTGCCTGCAACACCTCCACACCTACCAGTGGGCGGCGCCACGCAGGCAAGGAGTAGAACTCATCCTCGTTCTGCGGAAGATCGCGAGGATGGGGGCCGACTGGGGAGGTGAGTTTTGGATCATCAAATTGGACCTTCAAAAGGCCTTCGACTCCGTGGCACAAGAAAGTTTGGGGGAATTGGTCACCCAGCAGATTGGACCCGCCCAACCATGGGAGGCCAAGCTCTGGCTGTCCTTACTGGACGCCAGGAGCATACACATTGCAGTGGGGGACAAACAAGTGGAGGTGGACCAAACCAACGGCGTGCGCCAGGGGTCCCCTGACTCCCCAGTGCTGTTTTCCGCACGCGTGGGGGAACTCTTGGAGCGCACCCTCGCCACCACCCAGGCCTTGCCCAGGGGGGGGACCCGACCCTTTTGCCCACCCCCGCCACATCACGGAGGCGCCTTTATGGACGACACCTACATCTGGGGCGAAAACCCCGCACACATCCAACACACACTCTCCACACTGGAACGCCTGCTCCACCAGCACGGCCTGCGGATCAACCCCAAGAAAACACACATCATCAGCAACAACCCCAAAAGCAAAGTTACATTCAGGGTAGGGGGCGAGGACGTCCTACCGGACACGGGGGACACACCGCTGCGCGCACTCGGCTCACCAGTCAGCTTCCGGGGGAACACACCACAGCTCGCAGCAGAAATGGGGAGCAGAGCGAGAGCAGCCTTTGCACAGAACAAGAAGATCCTGCAGGCACCCACACCCATCAAGCCCAGACTCGACCTGCACGACACGCTCGTGCGCCAGACAGCACTCTACGGCTGTGAGACATGGACCCCACACGACACCCTATTGCGGGCAGCCAACACACAACAACTCAGCCAACTGCGCAGCATGACCAGCGGGGGGAGGCGACCAGGGGAACAGTGGGCCGATTGGAACACCCGCACGCTCCGCAACACCAGAGCACTCCTACACAAGACAAAGGGGGAGCGATGGTCAACATACATACTGCGACGAGTGTG